CCCCCCCCCCGCCCCTCCTACCGTCTTTGAAGTCTCTGCGAATCCCGCTGGTAAAGACGGCTGCTTTCGTCTTTCTCCTTCTCATTTCGATCTTTATCCTTTTGAGAGAAATAAAAACTGCGCTTTTGCTTCCCCGTGTTTTCCACTAAAAAATATAGTGGTTCCGTTGGACCTTCTTCAAAGTTCTTATTTTTAAATTCGTTGTTGGATTTTCTTCTACTTCCATTCTTTTTTCCCTTTCATTTTTTGTTTTTTGCTTATTTTTTAAGGGGGTTATTATTAACTTAATTTTTCTCCATGCCTATTAAGTGAATCCCTGGACTGAAATTGAAAAAAAAAAAAGCTTTGGAATGCCATTCTGAAGCTATGGTTTTTCTATCTTTCACGAGTAGAAGTTACGAGGACACTTGTTATAATTCTCATGATGTGTGTGGCAATATAACTCGAAGTTAGTGTGAATTTGTATCCATCAGCCATAGATTCTTGGTTACTTAAAAAAATGTTCTAGCTTACCATTTATCGCATTTGGAATGCAGGATAAAATCTGTGGATGGATGTTTCATTTTCTTTGTTTACAAGGCCTGATCAAATTCTTAAATCAGAGATCTTTGGTGTTTCCAGATCATTCTGCTTTCCTAGAAGTGACAAGTGCAGTTTGAACCGTCTGTTATCTGGTTGATTTTTCCCTAGATTGTTTCTTTTTTGTTTCTGTTTGCAGGCAGTAAAATTGTTCTTTTGAATCCCTTGTTCATTTTCCATTCACTTTATCCACTGCTGGAGGACTTCATATTGTTGCAGAGATTTGAGTAGAGAAATTATTTTAATACTAAAGTTACCTTTTTTTTATTTATCTTTCACTCTTTGAGTTTTCAATTGATTGTATACTTTGTCTTGATCATTTGCACAGTGACCAGAAGTCAAACTATACAGTGTTCAATGAAATCTTATCGGTTATCAGATCTTAATGATGTCGAGGTTCACACACTAATGGTCCGTCCTCGCATTGATTTTACATCAATCTTTGGTGTGGTGAGAATTTTTTGTATTTACATTTCTAAGTTTCAGACATCATTTTTCATTTCATAACATGAGGATATCATTCCGAATTGACTCGGATTCTTCTGGCGTTAGGTTAAACCTATTGTGGATGATGTCCAAAGTAGAGGCGATGCTGCTGTTGTTGAGTTGGTGCTTCTTGAATACCTATACTTGCATATCATCAAAAGTTTTAATTCTGTTATCTCAGATTTTTATTACACAGTATCTAATAATTTCAATTAATTCTTAAGCAGTTATACTATAAAATTTGATAAGGTTGCACTGGACCGAATCATTGAACACGTTTCTGATTTGCCAGATCCAGAGGTGGGCTGATTAAGATGGATTGATAATTGTTTTACATGAACAAGTTATCTGTTTGCTTTGCTTATGTTTGAAAGTATCTTACTATTTATTTCCCATTGTTAATTAACATTATTGTTATCCATTAGTGGGAGGTTCTTATTATTGTTACATATTCTGTCCTTGAGTTAGCAAGTTTTCCCTATTTTTTTTCAACTATTCCAGTTCCATTTTTTTTTTTCTTGACTTAGCTGCGAAGGATGATTGGTTTTATGTTAGACATGTATCTTCTTACATATTGTTAACCTTGATATCATGGTCGGAATAAGCCAATCTACACCAATAATCCTGCAGCCAACTACTACATAAACATTGCTTGTTATGAAGGATTTTAGAGATTCATTTGTGTATGCTGTAATCGAGAAAAAATGGTCATAAATTTGTATGGTTAATAGGTATGCCTTTACTTCTTGTATGATTAATGCAAATAACCTAGACCTCTTAGTGAAATTTTATGATATCTCTCGGTTATATACTTATATTATGATAATTTTGAATGAAGAAGTATAATAGTTCCTAATTTGAATTGCAGTTGCTTTGTAGTTAAAGGCAATCATGAAGTGTTGCAGTTGCTTTGCAGTTAAAGGCAATCATGAAGTGGATCATAACTGTTAGGATAAGGATCTCTGCATGTTTGAGTTAGAATGGACTATTGCATGTAGATAGTGTGCTATTATGTTATATGTGAAAGTTAACATTTTCTTACCTGTTCTTATTTAGAGCTTATCTTAGATATCATTTTTATATGTAGTATAACTTTAGAACCATCTGCATATTGCAGTTTTTATTTTTATTGTTTTGTTTTGTGGTTAAGCTTAACTTCCCTGTATTCTTTCAGCATTATCTGCTGTTTGTGACATTTGTCCGTGTGGACAAGTGCCTAAAATTAGCTTTCATGGAAAACAGATTGATCCAGCGGTCAGAGAAGCATTTGATATTGCATATGACAACATATATGAATTCCATGCAGCCCAAAGGGTTCCCGAGAGGAATATTGAGAACATGAATGTAATTTTACCTTTCGTACTTATATTAACGCTTCACGTCTTTTTTTGCTTGGCTTAATTAAACTAAATTTGTATAGGGTGTCAGATGTAAACGAATTGCAAGGTGTATTGGCTCAGTTGGGTTATACGTACCCGGGGGAACTGCTGTTTTACCATCAACTGCTCTGATGCTCTCAGTGGTACAAATGCATATTCTAGATTTATTTTATCTATATCAATTTTTTTAATTTAATTTAGCTGACTGGTTAGCTTTTTGTCTCCTCTATGAGGCAGCCTGCTCACATTGCTGGGTGCAAGACTATTGTTCTTGCCACACCTCCATCTAGAGATGGTACTATATGTAAGGTATTATATGTAAGAAGTTGCCTAATCTCATCCATTATGTTGAAATTTAATGTTCTTATTTTACCTGCAGGAGGTGCTTTATTGTGCAAAAAAGGCTGGTGTAACTCACATACTCAAAGCTGGTGGTGCTCAGGTGGAATGTTCTCACGTTTTCCTAATCTGAAAGACTGAAACTTCTTTGTTTCCTCTGATTTGGCAATTCTAACTTTTTTCCTATTAATAGGCTATATCTGCAATGGCTTGGGGTACCCAATCATGTCCTAAGGTGCGGTATTTATTGAGCTGAGTTTAATATCGGTTGATGCTTACAAGTTGATATTATTTTCCCTTTGAATTTGCTAAGATACTGTTTTTCCTTGTTTGTTTGGTTTTTTCCTCTAATTGTGGCTTTTTTCTATTTTGTACTTCGTTGATCCGTTTGATTTGGCTTTGCGGTGGTGCGATAAATGTAAATGTCTATTATATTTTATAACGAGGTTATCCAATTCCATAGCTGGATTGGAAGCTCCAGCGGAAGACAAGATTAGAGAGAGTCGCCTTAGATGGTTTGGTCACATTAAACGTCGACTATCTGATGACCCAATTAAGAGAGTAGATGTATTAAGAGAGTAGATTAGATTTGACATATTTTAAGAAAGATAGAGGTTGACCTAGAAAGACTTGGGCATGTTGTATGAATAATGATCTTAATTTATTAAAGTAAAAGAAAAATATGACACTCAATAAGGCGCAATGGAGAAAAAGGATTTATATAGTCAACTCTACATAGTGGGATGAAGCCTTTTGTTTTAATGTCCTTAGTAATGTGTGATTGATCATTTAAATTTTTTTTCATCTCATCCATCCTGATCCATGATTTTCTTAGATGTTCCACAACTCCATGTCATCTAAATGAGTGCTTGACGAGCACCATTAGTAAAGAATAAGGTAGCTGGATTGCTTAATTGTCATTCAAGTTGGAAGAGGCGTTAAGCTGCTTGCTTATGCTATATGTGAATTATTAGTATTGCTTTTATTTATTTTTGATTTTGCGCCAACCCTTCAATTGCATGAATATCTTTCTTCATATCTATTTGCTTGCTATCCACTTTCTCAACTACACCTATTTTTATGGTTTACTTAGTAGAAAAGTTTAAAAAGGCGAAATCGGGAACCAATGTCTTTTACCTAAGCACGGTGAGGCACAAGCCTTGAGGTGAATTGAGGTGTAAGCCTTTAAAAAATTCATAAATATGATATAAACCATTGATATGATTATTTAATCTATTATTATGAATACAAAATTTAATCTTAAATATTGATATAAAATTGAACTTTGAAATGCAATTGTAGATAAACATTCATTTAAAATTAAAATATTCCATGAGGTTTAAGATCCATAGTGGTTTCATCCTTGCTTTCATAATCTTAAAAAAAAAAACTATCATATTTATTATTATCTAATTCTATCTTGTTTGCAACTTTAAAATATTTTTTATTCACTATAATTTTTTCTTACTATCAATTAATCTGAAATTCAATTTAATTTAAAATAAAAAACAAAAGTAATAACATAATCAAGTAATAAAATTTAAATTATCTTTTGATCTTTTTGAGGCATTGTGTCAAATATCTTTAATATAATGTACTTTTTGTGCAAAACTTGATTTAGGCACTGCCTCAAACGCCTCGAGGTGTATGCCTCAGATGAAAAATGTGTAAATCTCAATGGTAACATGAAGTTTAAGCCTTCAGGCTTTTTTACACGTTAGTTCAAGGCATGCCTCAAAGCATATGCCTTGAACGCTTTTTAAAACAATGCTTAATAGTAAGGTTATGTAGAAGAGTCCCCCTTGATTTTTTGATCCAACAGAAATTAAAAAGCACATGTCATGTGACTATTCTACTTTGTTAAGAAACAACTATTTTGTGCAGAAATAACCAGGGTCATTCAAAATTGAAGTCAGAAGCATGTTAACAATGTGTTAATAATGGAGAATTATGTTTTTGTAAATTATCGTGCACATGCTATTTATATATGCACAGATTGAATTTTTATTAGAGGTTATTTCCCTTTTTTTCCTTATACTTCATATTTCCTCCCACTCTTTTGGAAATGTGCTATGTGGTAGAGCACAACTTCTTCCTTCCTAGGCTTACTACAGCAAATGATGTTAGAGTATGATCAACTTATTCATTGGTCGAAATACAGGCTTAGGAGATTTCACAGGAGCTTTGCTCAGCATGCTAATTGTGAACTTTTTGTACATAGTGGTCATCCTTAGTAGAGCAATAGGTGTTTGCCCTCTAGCGGACAAATTCTATAGGAAAAGAGTAACAAGCCTTGAGAAAACTACAATCTCATCAGGCAAGAGCTTTTCACGTAAGAGAAGCATTGAGATGGCCTATAACCAAATTGATGGTAGTTTTCAGCTCCACCCACATCCGTGGAAGTTACATGATTACAAAATGAATTAAGACTTTCCTCCAGAGGTACCTTGTAAATTTAGGATTTTCCTGATTTGCTTTAGGAAATTTAGAAAATTTTCCATTTGATGGAAATCATGGAGGATCCATTGGCAAAGTTGGTGACTCACTAGGGTGGACAATTGATGTAGCACATGCTTCTATACAAGCCAATCACTCCATGAATGTCTAAGTGACCATAGACCAATTATAAAGAGTCAAGCTAGGGTTTTGAAGTTTTCTTATGCCCATTTCTATTTATGAACTAATTTCTTATAAAGTTTAGAGTTATTTTATTAGGTTTTTTTATCTTCTTTTGGATAAGGCTAGGTTTATATTTTGAATGCTAGTTGGAATTGGATAAGACTAAATTTGCATTCAAAATGTTGGCTTTATCCTTATGTCTTTATTTCTTTAAATATAGTTTCATCTTGTATAATTGACTTATTATTTATTGACGTTGAATGAAATTAGGTTGAATGAAATTTGATTATTTGTGAGGCCAATTGAGTGCTCCTAATTTAACTACACAGATCACTCCAAGTTGTATTCACAGAGCTCTTTCCTCCCTTTTTCCCCCTCCATTATAAACCTATTTGCTAGGATGAGCTCAAGTGCATTGGACTAAGGATGTGAAAATCTCTAAAGCAGACTTGGATCAGAAGGAATTTTATCAGTAACACAAAAGGTTCACCTTTGGCTGCTGCAATTCTTATAAGTAGACTGAATTTCTTAGGCATTTTGATTTGACATGTTCAAGATGATATTGTCTGAAAACCATTTTGGCAGCTTAACAAATTGATTGACATTCATTTACTTGGCAGGAAAGCTTTTCTAGTTTGCTGCTCAAAGTGTTCTCTTGTTGGTTTTTGTGAACTTTTTTCTGTACTTCTTAAAAGTTCTTTGAGGGAGTGTAGCTAAAGAATTGTGTTGCAGTCATTTAATCTATTACACATTTTTATTAACTAAATTGAATCGTTCTATAAAGAGATGAGTTAGAAGCCATAAAGAAGATGTGGCAAAGAAATTGTCATCTCAACCAAACCTGAATCCATGCACAACACGTCTTCAATTCTACTAATCTGAATACTACAATCAGTTTTCAAACTGGGTGATGTTTGGTTTTTCCCTATAGTAGTGATGCTAGAAGTTTTAAAATGGAAGCACTTCCAATGATTTCTCATGCAATGTCATCATCATGGTAGAACTGCCAAAATAAAAAAATATATATATTATCTCTTAGTATTGGTGATCTAGCCCCATTTACCAATTTTCCTCATCGTTTTCTTCATTCAATGGGATATCTTGAGATAATTCACATTTCTACTTTGAAATTGCCATGGCAAGGAAGCATGTATATAGTTGTATTTGATGTAAGGGAATGCAACAGAAGATCTTACGGTATAGGATTTTTAATGTATATCTATCGTGAGATGCTAGAAATCATGCATCATGCATGAAAAAATTGATGGTTGTTGGTTGCCAGCCCTTAATCATTTTATTAAGGATTCATTTGAAAATTCAAAAGAAATCAGTTTTGTCGAAATTTCAGTAGACTTCTACTAGAAATAATGACTAGAAATACAAAATCAAATAAGCTAACGAAATGATTCGAAGGCCACTCATTTGTTGAAAAAGATAGATTCTATCAAATTTGATTGAGATGAAAGCAACAAATGAACTTTCAATATTGCTTGTGGAACCTTATGTTGTGGTGAGAGATATGCGCGAAACTGCTGAAGTAATGTTCGAGAGATCCGGATGAAACCCTTGAACAGAAGCTCACAAAAGAAATCACAAAAAAAATATAAAAACTCCAAGATTTAATGTGGAAAAACCTAAAAAGGGAGAAAATTACGGAGCAACACCACACCAAAAAATTCACTATAAAGAAATGAGGAGAAATGTACAGATTACACTACACTCAAACTTATCTATAACTTTGAAACTCAAGAATGCTCATCTCTTCTCTCTAACACCTGTGAAAATTGCAAAATTCAAAGCATTCAACATAGACACATTCTCGCAACAAAAATGAAATTTAAACATTGAACTGCTGAAATTCGATTATAGGCGCATAGGCGCCACCCCTGGGTGCTTGGTTTTTGGGCATTCTAGTTTGGGGAATGATCCAGGAGTGGTTGCGCCCCTTTTGGGTGCCGTAATTTCAAAGGCTCTGTCTCAAAAGTATGGTTCTAGGCTCTTAGGCACCCCCACTAGCACTGGGGGGCCACTCCAGGCACTGCTGTAAGGCTCTAGGCACCATTCCAAGTGTTGGGTTTCCTCCAAACTCTATAATCTGTCTCCATATATAATAATCTCTCACTTGGAGACTTATTACAACCAATCCTGCACCTTCAAATTTGTATCATCTTTGTAATAGTGTGGTTCAACTTCAGTCTCAACCTACTTGAATTATAACTGAAGTCAAACATTGCTTCATTTTCTCAATTATAACAACATTAGTCAACATATATAAAAAATTTTGACTTGTATGTATATTCTCCAAAGATAATTGATCATTTTCTAGGAGCGAACAAATGAAGTGATATCTTAGCTGAATGTTCTTTTTCCTGACATGAATTGCTGCTTCTTAGATAGAAGATGAAACTTTCCCTTTCCTTGCTCCTTACTTAGTTTTGCCATAAAGCCCTGCAACCAAATCATTTTCTTGTTAGCCTCAGTGATAATAATATAGTCAGCTTCTATAATCGACTGTGCAATAACTTTCTATAATCTGGAAATCAAACTCACTGTTGTGATTCCCAAAGTAAAATGTAATCTGTTGTATTTCTTCTATCATTATTATCTCATGCTAGATCAAAATCTATATATCACGGTAGATCAATTCATGTACTTCCAAAGCAAAGTGTTTTGTTGTTTGTTTCTCTCAAGTATCTGAGAATTCACTTCACTGCAATGATGTTTACCTAGATTACTCATGTCCCGACTGACCACTCTCACTGCATGTTCAATATCTGACCCTATACATATCATCATATACATCAAGCTTCCAACTGCTAAAGTGTACTAAGTTCTTCTATTGTGTGCTTCTTCTGCTTCAGACTTAGGTTATTGTTCTTTAGATAGCTTAAAGTGACTACCTAAGGGGTGCAATTTGCCCCACTTATGTTGAATTTATGTAGGACATTCTCAACACATTCTACCTGAGCTAACTTCAATGTACATTTACACGTGTTCTTGCTGATTCTCATACCAAAGATTTTATGGATTGGTCCTAATTTCTTTTTTTCAAACTCTTTTGATAATTATTCTTTCAAGACCCTTGTCTTCTCCATATCTGCTCATGCAATCATGCATATACAAACAAAATAAGCACAATATAATTATTAAAATTTTTGATGAAGCAATAATGTCTTCTCTTCATGAAATTTGATATCCCAATGGTTGCACCATTTATAGTTCTCTTCTAAGTCACCATATATAAAGATTTTCTTTACATCCATCTTCCATGAGATGTAGATCCACCTCTGCTACTAAGCTCAACAGCTCTGATAATTATCATCTTCATTATAAGAGGAAATATTGCAGTGTAGTCTAATCTTTATTTTGCTAAAATCCATTCACAACAAGCCTCACCTTATAATAATTGCTACCTTATGAATCTTCTTTCAACCTGTAAATCCACATTTTATGCAATGCCTTTTTTGCTTTATTGTAATTCTGTCAAATCCCATTTCTGATTTTATATTAGTGAGTCCATCTTGTTATCCATGGCAAACTCCCACTCCTTTATGCCTTCAACTTGAGTAGCATCATCATAGCACTCTGGTTCATCACTATCAATTAGCAATAGATAGTACAAAGTAGGAGAAATATTCTATATTGGTTGTGTGATTTTGTTGGACCTTTTAACTTCCGTAGCAGGTGTCTGAGAAACTTTTTGTGCTTTCTCAGATTGAACACCTTTCATTTATCCATGTTCCTGATCACCATTATTTTCTATTTCAATATATTTGGAGGAAGCTTTAGGAGTAACTGTTGGCCTGAGTTTTGTTTCTTTTTTTGTATATCTCCATTTAATTGAAAGTGATAGCCCTGCCCCCAATGAATTTATGATTATGATTGTCTCAAAATTTATACCTAAAATTTATCTGAGCTATACTCAATAAAGGTACTCTTGACATATTTTGAATTAAGCGCACTCTTGAATTCAACATCAGCATGACATGATGAACAACCAAATACTTTCGGGTTAACTGGATTTATCTTTTTGTCACTCCAAACTTCTTTAGGTTAAATTGATATTTTTATGAGAATTGTAAAGATTGAAGGTCATTCATTCTAAGTGAAAATTTAGGTATCCAACATTAATCACTGATTTTGAATTTTAAGATGAAAGATTGAAAGATAAAAAATATAACGAAATATTATCGTACTTAAAAGATATAAAATTATTTTTATGAGTGAACTTCAAGATCTTAAGATTTGGATGTTCATGAAGAAACTAATATTTTTAAACAAGTTGTAGAAGATGTGCTTAGAGATTTAAAAAGGAAAAAAAAATTATGAATTAAAATAGTTGATATTGGAATAATAATGTGTAAGAAAAAATAAAAAATAAGAAATTTTTTTATAAAATTTAGTTTAAATGTAAAAGCTTGGAGAACTGAGAAAAATATATGGTGACCCATAGGAAGACTAAGAGAATTATTTGTGATGCTAATAATTCTTTTTTTGATGATCTTTAAGATAAATTAGATACTAAAATGGTGAAAAATATATATGTATAAACTAGCCAAACAAATAAATAAGAAAAATAAGTATTTAGTTTAGGTGTATTAAAGATGAAAATCCAAAAGTATTTTTTTTAGATGAGGATATTCAACATATGTTGGTGAGATTTTTTGATAAAATTTTCAATGAAGATATTGAAAATATAATTGATCTTACTGATATTATAGAATAAATAATAACAAATTTTTTTATTTCCACCGTCGCATTAATAAAACAGAAGTTGAGGAGACTTTAAAGAAAATGAAGTGTGGAAAGTAGTAGAACCTGATGGTATTTTAATAGAAATGTGAAAATATGTATGAGATTTGAGAATTTCTTGACTTGCTAAACTTTTAAATATTAATTTAAAAATTAAAAGATATCTGATGAGTGGATAAAGAGTTTGTTGGTCTGTTGGTTCCTATTTTTAAGAATAAAGGGGATGCACAATTGTTGGTTCCTATTTTTAAGAATGAAGGGGATGCACAATAGTGTCCAAATTGTTGATGAATTAAACTAATGTGTCATAAATTAAAGTTATGGGAGAGAGTAATTGAATATATGTTATGATGTGTGCGAAAATTTCTTAAAATTAGTTTGGATTTATGCTGGGCAAGTCTGCTATAGTTTTGATGGAAAAGTACAGAGATAATAAGGAGGATCTCCAAATGATTTTTGTTGATTTAGAAGAAACTTATGATAAAGTTCCAAGAGAAGTATTTTGGAGAATTTCAGAAAAGAAAAGTGCTGATTGATATTGCTTATATTCAAGTCATTAAAGTTATGATATTGGAGTTGTTACTTGTATTCAAACACAAGGAGGATTGACGAAGTATTTTCCCATTTCAGTTGGATTGCATCAAGGATCATCTTTAGGCCCATATCTTTTTGCTTTAGTTATGTATGCTCTAATTAGACATTTATAGGAGGATGAACCTTGCTGTATGCTTTTCGATGACATCTTTCTTGTGGATAGGACTAGAGAGAGTTTAGGAAAAACTTGAATTATGGAGTTCAACTTTAGAGTCTAAAGGATTTTGCTCAAGTAAATCTAAAATTTAATATATGGATTTTAATTTTAACAATATTAGATCTAGTGGCGGGATTGAATGATGCGTGATCAAGTCATTAAAAGGAGTGAATATTTTAAATATCTCATGTTTATCGTTCAAATTGATGGTGATATAGATGAGGATGTTATTAGTAGAATTCATATTGGATGGTTGAGTGGAGAAATGCATTGGATCTATTGTATGATAGAAAAATACTACTCAGACTTGAAGGAAAATTTTATAAGATTGTAGTGAGACCTATAATGTTTAATGGCGTAGAATTTTGGCTTGTAAAATAGAACTATACATTTAAGTGTTGTTGAGATGAGAATACTTGGGTGGATGAGTGGTTTTACACTAAGAGACAATGTGAAAGCAATATATCCATGAAAGGGTTGGAGTAGCTCTAGTGACAGACAAGATTAGAGAGTCGCCTTAGATTGTTTGGTCACATTAAGCATCGACTATCTGATGGCCCTGTTAGGAGGGTAAATGTTTAAGATTTGACTAGTGCTAAGAAAGGTGGAGTCTTGGGCCTTTTGTATAAAATATTTTTATAATTTATTAGAATTAAATGAAAATATGACACTCAATACGAGACAATGGAGAAGGATTTATATAGCCAAGCTCACTTGGTGGGATAAAGGCTTCTTGTTGTTACTATTGTTGTTGTTCTTTTTGTTTCATCATGACTTGTCTTTATAAAGTCCAATGATATAACTTCCCTAGGGGATGAGGTCAAGCTAAAACACCTCTTTCGAATATTTTTAGTTTTTAGCTTTGTTTTTTTGGAGTCAGTGGTGCTTGTAATATCATAACTTCCACCCCATTTTCCCTAAATATTTTAGCTTTCACGTTGTTACTCGAGTTTTATAACCCATCTAACCGATTTATGCTAAAATATGTTATTTTGAATATCTATATTTTATTTATCCATATATCATTTTAGCTCATTCTTTTATCCCGCTACTACTACATTTAAATCAGAAATTTTCAGAACTTACCACCAGCATGGTAAGCCTAAGAAATTTAACCTTGCTCTTTATTAAAGATTTCAATGGATCTAGTACCATCCAAAGGGCAATTTGCACTCCTTTATGCCATGCATTTGTCAGGTTATTATCTTAAAAAATTTATGGATCTATCAGAAGTAAGGTTATGTGAATAATATATTTCAATACTATCATTTAATTGGCTGAAAAAGGACAAAACAGCTGACATAGAATTACAAGAGGTTGTTATGTCTTCCATGACTGCTATAATCGAAATTGTGCTTTATGTGATGGATGGATTAATATGCTGTACCATGAAAAAATAATGTCCTGAAACCCTAACTTTGGTAGTTATAGTAGGAAGACTTTCCTGAATGCTTGAATGATTTTAAGACAAAAGATCAATCTTTTATATATTATCGAATGTTTTTAAATGCTCATTTCTGACCTTTTTCATTTATTCTTGCCTTTTAAACTTAGATGGCTATAGTTTGATTCTTTTTTCATTGAGTGAATGCTTTCAACCATTCCCTGTCCATTTCACATGAATGAAAATATTTTTTATATTTCACTTTGTGCTGATTTTTCTGCTCAAATTCTTTGGGGCTTTCTTATTATGGCCATTACGTGCGTTTTACTAGATGCTTACTGTAATAATAATGTCATTCAGGTTGATAAAATATTCGGGCCAGGAAATCAGTATGTTACAGCCGCGAAAATGATTCTCCAAGTATGTTGCATCTTTTTCTAAGTCTTATCTTAGCATGAGCACTAATAGCATTCTCCATTATTGTGCATGGTTATGTGATCGTGTATAGGCTTATATCTACTCTGTTATCTTTTTATTTTTATTTTTCTAATGATGGCTCTATTTCTTTCTTTGAACTGTTTGATGAATGCTTAATCGCATGAACCAACTACAGAGCCCAATTTGCTCTGTTATCTTTTTTCTTCTCTTTCTACTCTGAATTTTAATATTTTCTACTCTGTCGATAACTAGAAAATCTATTTTTTTTTCTAAATAGATGTGTTTATTCTATTTAGAAAGATGATTGTATTTTAGAATGTTTTTTGCTTTATTACAAGTTCTCAGGTATGAGATGTCTATCTACTAAAAAAATTGACAATTTTTCTTGAGTCATCCTTTAAGACTCGGTCGATATCAAGTTTGCATATGGCCAACACACAACTCAATTAAGCTTGAAGAAAATTAAACATGTCATATTTAAAATGGTCAACACAAATGTTCAAAATATAAAATTGAAAATGAATCATAAACCTAGAGTATGTACGCTTAGTTCATACTTTCTAATAAATAACACAAAAATACAGAGAAAACTCGTTTCATAAATTACATTTGATACAATATACTTAAAAAGAGTGAATCAAAATTGATGTAAATTCTTCTTAGATTCTCTCTTTTTCCTGGTTCTTTCTTCTTCTTTTGTCCTTTTGGAAGTCTCCAAATGTCTCTCTACGCTCCTCACTCACTCCCACACTCCTAAGTATTCCACTCTCTTCACCACACAAGTCACTCTTTCACTCTTACTAACAGCCTATCAACAAAGGACCCTACTAGAATAACTCCATTAATTCCTTAGGTAATTCACTTAATCAGCTCTGAAATTTCTTCGGTTGTTGCACCACGACACTAGCCTTGCAGCACCGAGGCATTGCCCACTTTGTTTTTCTAATTTATGTTTATAGGTTTTAATGCTGTGACACTATTGTTTTTAGCAAATTTTTACTCGTAGCGCTAAAATGCTTCCAAAATATGGCGTCAGAGTGCCGTGCTTTATATCTTGAATATTATTTTCTTTTATCTTTTGGCGTTGTAGTGTTGCATGTGGTGCGGAGGCACTGTTCTCGGGTTTCTAAATAATTTCTTCTAGTTTCCGACATCATAACGTTGCATAAAACAACACCAAGACATCAAGCTTTCTTTTTTTGCACCTGTTTTTTTTGCCATGAATGATGTCGCATCGCCGCTAGACAAAGTCGAGGCACAGTCTTGACTTTATTTATTTTTCTTTATTTTTTCTCCTTTGAGAAATTCTTGCAACAATCATTACATTTATTGATAATAAACCACAAAATAATAGTATTTTCACTTAAATTCACATTTATTTCTTAATTATATAGTTCACTCAACTCATTTTACAATATCTCTCGTTTAATTTCATTTTAAACTTTTTTCGCATGTTTCCACTTTCTTATGAGTTTGGTTCTTTAGTTTTTTAATTCCTCTAGAAATACTTGAGAGCTGACACAAGAAAATCTAGGACAAATAGAGAGGAGAGGGAGAGAGGGAGAACACTATAGGAATTAAAAATGAAATAGAATAAATGAATAGACCCTAATCCTAAAGTATTTGCATAAATTGAAATTTACATAAATGACCTTTTATAAACAATTAATGATCCAATTATAATAATCTTAAAAATCCTATACAGAATCAAATAAACTCATTAGATGATGCAATTTGAAACACACGCCTTAGTTTCATAAAGTTAAGATTCAAAACCAATGTCTCAATCACTTGAGGAATAGATTTTGAAAGATCAAGGAAACACACATACTTTGAATCTTTTTCCTAGTTCCTTAGACAAAACAAGTTCCGAGATATATGTTTTGAAAGATTTTTTGAACAATGATAGTGATGTTTGTATTTCATCTAGATATCAAAATCCTTTTTACATATTTTGGTTGCTTACTTCTATCGATGATTTTATCTTTGTTGGTTATACATGGTGATAAAATAAATACTCAAAAACATCCATCTTATGGCTAAAACCGTTTGACATCCAAATTCTTCATTCTAAAAGGGCATGGAGTATTTAAACCATATTATAGAAAATTATTATCCATTGATGTTCTTGCCCTAAAAATTCCCAACAAAATGGTATATTGAATGAGAAAATAGACATCTCGTTGAGATTCCAAGATCTATTATGTTCACTAACAATACCCCTAAATTTTATTGTAGTCTTACCATCCTCTTTGTCCGTTATTTGATGAGTAACTACCCACTAATTTTTGCAATTCAAATCACTGATCATTTGTTTTTTTGGATCAATTGCTTTCCAAATACTTGTACTATTTTAAATATATCTATTAAATTATTTGGGCGCATTTTCATTCTCCATAATTGTGGATAATCTTTATTGCAAATCTTCTAATTGGATTCTTCTAGGTTATGAGATCAATCGAAAGAGCTATGAATGTTGTTTACCATTAGAAGGAAAATATTTGTGCTTATGGATACCATTACTAAAAATAAATCATGTTGAATTTGTGACTAGAGCAACATAATTTTTTTGATAGAAGACGGTGTATTTAAACCCAATTACAATCACCACAATAAAGGAAAGAAATAAAACTAAATAGAAAATACATAATGAAGGAATAAAGACAAATAACAAGTAATAATAAGTAATAATGACTCTCGATTGTCGTTATAAATCTAATACTCCCCTTCAAGTTGAAGCATAGATGTCAATAATGTTCAACTTGGATTTAAAGTTATCGAACAAAGGATGAAGAAGATTCTTGGTGAGGATATCTGCTAGTTGACCAATAGAGGACACAAAAAGAACAAAAAATTTTCCTGGACTCAATCTTTTCTTTAATAGAGTGTGTCAATCTCCACATGTTTGGTACGATCATGCTGGATTGGATTGTGAGCAATACTGATGACGGTCTTTTTATTACAGAATATCTGTAGCGGGACGGGGGTTGACATACGAAGTTCACGAAACATGATGCATAACCAGGGAGCTTCATAGATCCCCAAAGACATGGAACGAAATTTAGCTTCAGCACTGCTCCGGGCAACCACAAACTATTTTTTGCTTTTCCAGTGACATGGTTTTCCAATACAATTGAGCAGTAACCCGAGGTGGAACGTTGATCATGAACCGACCCGACCTAATCAGTTTCTGTGTAAACAACAATAGACCGAGAGGTGTGGAGAGAAAAACAAACCTGAACACCTGAACCCGATATACTTTTTTAATGGTGGAGAATCCAGTGGACAACTTGGAGATAATGCTCATATGGGCTTATGCATAAATTGATTCACTATATCAACTACGTTGCATATGTCAAGGCAAATATAGGCTAGGTAGATGTGTTTCCCGACAAGACGCTAGTAATGAGTATTGTTGACAGACACATCATTGGTAATATCAGATAATTTTTTATTGGGATCTATAGAATAGTCATAGGTTTGCACAGAAGGTTGGTCTCTATCAAGAGACCAATCACACATTTGCGCTTGCGACATACAAATTCCCCAAGATGACCGAACCACTTCTATGCCTAAGTAACGGAGAGATCACAATTCCTTCATTTTAAAGGGCGTAGCAAGAATGTCTTTTAAGGATTTCATTGCTGGAAGATCGTTACCTATAAGAACAATATCGTTAACACAGATAGTAAGGATAGCTACCTGACCATTAGAGAAATGCGAAAAAAGAGAGTGTTATCTAATTGAGCTCGAGTAAAATCATGGCCCACGACCACCTTTGTGAACTTGTCGAACCAGATCCTTTGAGGCTGTTTTAGCCCATAGAGGGACTTTCGCAGCCTGCATACTTTTCATATGGAGGCAGGAGAGTCAGAGCCAAGAGGGAGAGACATTTACACCTCTTTTGTAAGTTCTCCATTTAAGAAAACATTCTTGACATCTAGCTGGAATAAAGACCAACCCAGATTCACCGCAAGGGACAATAAGACCCGAATAATGTTTAACTTAGCCACCGGAGCAAATGTATCCTCATAGTCAACTCCGTAGCTTTATGAGTACCCTTTGACCACCAATTGTACCTTGTTGTGTTCAAAAAATCTATTTGAGTTGAACTTGGTGTTGAAAATTCATCGACACCCTACAACTTTCTTACGCTGAGGAAGATCAAAGACGTCCCACATATGGTTTCACCGGAGGGCATTCATCTCCTCCATTACTGTTGTTTTCCAGTCTGGATCAACAAGAGCAACCTTAATCGTAGTTGGGATCTGATGGTTCGTCATGGCAGTTGCAAATACTATTTAGGTCGGTGATAAACTATGGAAAGAGACATTTTGCCATAAAATAGAAGGAGCATGTCTAATTGCGTACCTTATTTCCTTATTTGGAGGAGGGTTTGTGTTGGGGATGTCGCCCAGAGTGGAGTCAAGGCCTTGTAAGGAGGTAACAAACTCCAGAGTAGGAGCATCAGGACGGGTGCACCGAGTGTAGACACTGATAGTGGCAGGAGATGGTGCACTCAACGGAACAGAGGACTCCTAAGTGGTTGGAACAATAGGGGGAACATCCACAGGAGTAGGATAAGGGACAATGTCTAAGAACTCAAGCTCCCCCTCACTTGAGGCCGAGCTAGGAAAATAGAGAACACTTTCAAAGAAGGAGACATCAACACTCACATAGATTTTTTTTGTGGCAAGATCAAGGCACCGATTCCCCTTTTGAGTGGTGCAGTCCTTAGGAAGATATTTTATGGATCTGGGATCAAGTTTTCTGTATAGGGGAAATGTTCCGAATAAAGGCTGTGCACCTTAAAATCTTGGAATCTAATGTGGAGAGGACATGATTGACAGGGAAGCATGATATCAGGACAATTAAGAGGATTCAAAACTTGTGAATGTTAGAGGGTGCTCTATTTATGAGATAGGTGTCATTCCAAAACCGTCTTGGGATATTGGATTGAAACATAATGGAGTAAACAACGT